AAATTTGCATTTCTCTCTGTAACTGTTTATGTTTTACCCTTTAGATTTCACTTGGCAAAGTTGGAYTCCCACTCAGTCTGTGTTCTGCAGTTTTGTGTTTCAAATACTGCAGGGGAGGGTTTATTTATTTTTAAAACTCCCACTGTCAAACTGGATTAAGTAAAAGTCCCGTCACTTAAATTTTATAATTTTTTTCTGCTTTTAAAGAAGCAAGTTGTCCACTTTGATTTCTCTGAATTTAAGTCAACACTGTTACTTTGCAAAGTGCATATTCAGACTCCTAGATTCTTATTTAAATGAAGCTTTTATTGTTTCTGATGATTTTCTGAGTTATTATTCAGTTGCTCTGTGTGAACTGCTGTTGTTTTACACCTGTTTGGGCAAGGATATATTTARAACTTCACTGAGATTTATACAGGACTGCAAAATAACCTCCCTGAAGTGATTGTGGCTCTCTCCACTCTGCCTGTGCTTACACCTTCTTTCCTTCTGTTTTGATGGGAAAAATTCTAAATTTGTGTCAATAAGGACACTTGAAACTCCTCAGCCATGAACTTTGGAGAGCTGGGATGAACCTCGTGGTTCTGAGGTGTCTCCCACAAAATTTCCCACGTGGATGGACTTATTTACCACTGTGTCCATGAGAATGCCTCAAACTCCTCCTCATTSAAGGCATTTTCCAAAATTGCTGGACATAGGCTGGGAAGCACCATCAATGGAAATCCATCATGCTGGAGAAGGCTTTCAAATGCTTTCCTCTGTCTGTCACTCCCTATCTAGTCTYGTTTGAGTTTTATTTCTTAGTGCTGTGCCCCGTTCTGGGCTCCTCAGAAGAGAGAGATGCAGAGCTCCTGGACTGATGGAGGGCAATGAAGATGCTGAAGGAATGGAACATTTATCTCACGAGGATGGGCTGAAGGAAATGAGCTTGTTCAGACTTGAGAAGGGAAGAATTTCCTTCCTGCGTGGGTGACACAGCACTGGAGCAGGCTGCCCACCCGGAGAGGCTGTGGATTTTCCCTCACTGGAGACATTCCAGAAACATCCGGACCATATCCCACATTGTGTGCTCCAGGATTAACCCACTGGGATCCCACAGACCCATCCTGARACTGTGAGCACCTCACATTTTCCAAGTGCTGGTGGCAGGAGTTTCACCACACAGGACAGGCAGCAGAGGCACTTTTGTGTCTGCCCAGCTCATCTGCTGGATCCTGAGACAATCAATGGACCCAAAAAGGAAACAGAGGCACCAAAACCTCCCTGGTCAGCAATGAAACACTGCACTTGCAGTTCCAGCTGGAGACAGTGGAGCTAGAACTGGTGTCAACTGCTACAACAATCCCTGTCCTACTTTAAAAGCTGATTGAAAACAGCTCAGGAGGCCATAAGATGAATAGGATTTTCTTTCATTCTTTTTTTCTATACAGGTACATTTATTATTGAATAAGCACCACCATGTGCTCAGTGTGATTAAAAAAGAATGTAGGCAGGCCTTGCACTCAGGTAGCTCACAAGAGAAAACAAAAACCCCCAGAGATGGGCTACAGGACTTACTTCCATCATCCCTTAAAGGCATAAAAGCATTTTATTTCCTTTTTCTGTTGTGCTTTGTGGTTATGATGTTTCTACAGCCCAGGCAAAAAAAGCAGAGCACTTTAACTAAATTTTCAATATATGACCCTGGAGAAATACTTGATTGATATATGTGAGTATGGTGTTTGAGTTTAGTACTTGCAATACACACACATTTTTAATGGGATCTGTTCCAACCTTGTTGTTTCAGAAAAAACTTAGCATTTTACCTTCCAGTACTGGCAGGGTAAAAGATTTTTCTAAGTGAGGCTTTTGCACTTTCCCAAAAGTTGTGTTTGGAACAACATCGCTACTTAATAATAAATTTAATTATTAAACCAGTTTTGTACTACCACAGGTATCAAATCTGGAGTAGCTGAATGCCCATTTCCAGGGGCCTGTTACAGAAAATTGAATTCAGCTGCACCCTGGAAACTGCTTTTGAAACATCTTTACAAACACAGAAAAAGACTTATCTATGATAATATTCTTCTCATGTTCCAAATACTTATATTTTGAAAGCCTGAACACAACAGAAATTATATAAAGAATTTTGATTTGACATATTAAAGGCACAATGTTTTAAATTTCATGGCTGCTTTCTTGACTGTGTGTCACAATTCTGTAAAGATCAGGTTCTTGTGCTGAATTGGGAATGTTTTCACTGCTGAGTTTGGTGGTTTCAGTGTGTAGCCTGCTCAAAAATAGGAAGTTCTGCTTAAGAAATGGCAACGAACAAGAAGCCCTGATGCTGCAATCTGTGCAGAAAGGAGGGAGGATGGCACCAGAAAGGATGGAGACTGTCCATCCAAGCCAGTTTTTGGCTTTGGAGATGCCAACAGGAGCTGGTAGCACATTGCCCCAGCCTGGCACAAGAGCCTGTGCCCATTCTTCCATTGCCTGAGCTGCTCCTGTAGTTAAATATTTGTCTTCAAGTCAAGGGAAGGAAGCACTGAAGGAGGAATTTTTGTACACAGGAGCTTGACAGGCACWGAGATGTGATGGGGGAAAGGCACAGAAAATCTTATTGCTCTGGTTTCTTGAGTCAAAATTGCTGTTGGTGCAACGACAAATCTCCACTCAATCTCYACTCTATCCACACTCTATCTACATTTATCTGACCTCTATCTACCCCATATTTACCCCAAAACCCACACTCCACATGCTGTCAGGTAGCCTGGTATCACAAAGCTCTGTCTCCCCTCTCAGTTTGCTGGTTTAGCCAAATCACTCTTGTAACCCACACGAGATTTTGGAAGGGAAAAAGAGAAATTTTGCTCCACGTCTTTGCCTTAGTTAAACAAGGCTTTGCATCTGCATTCTCCAACACTTATATTACAAAGCGTGTTGAGTGACTCAGAAAACAAAAACTACAACTAAAGCAGATTTGCAGATGGAGTTCCTTTTATTGCTCAAAATATTTGTCAGCTTTCATATTAAACCCCTGAAGTTTTTGAAAGTGAAGCCTTAAAGATGCACAAGGCACAAATAGACAGACACACTGCCCACCAACAATTTTCAGGTAATATCTTAACTAGAAACAGATTGTGACTTTTATGATATTTTCTCCYCTGTATGTTAAGTCAATGACCTATTTAAATATGTTGGCAGCAATTTATATGTCTCGTGACTTTATATTCCACAAAGAAATACTGTGTTTTGTGTTATTTGCATTAAAAAGACATACTATGTAAAACTTCACCTTTGTTAAAAATCACTTTATCCCAAGTATTTAAATTATTTCATGCTTTCAAAAGGCACAATTATGTATCTAATGAGAACTTCCATTCAGTGTTACACATAATACAAAAAGAGAAAAAAATGTTTGAGACATCAATGATAATATTTTAAATATGTTGGCATAGGAAAGTAGATGTCTTTTTTCTTCACTAAACTGACAGTTCAGTTCTGAAACTTTATTTTGAAAAGATTTAAAAAGGGTTTGTGTCTTTAGAAATAAAAAATATAACCGGCATATCTAAAAAAYATAGAAGAGAAAACCTGATTGTTACCACTAATGAAATAGCTGATGACAAAATAGTAGTCTTTTTGATTTTGATCACAAAAAATAAACTGGTAGTGACAGGATATGATGGATAGATTTGACATCCTGGCAAATCACTGTCATTGATTCAATTATTCTAATTCAGAATAAAAGCTGTATACAGTATGTGTTTATGCTACAGTGGAGTTTTTTAAGTGATTGACATTCATCATATTAGTTAGACAGTTTTAAAAGCTATGTCTTTGTTTTACACAGTGGTGTCAAGAAAAAAATAAAGTAGAACCTGGATTGCAGGGAGAAAAAAAAAAAAAAAAAGCAAACCACTCCACCAAGTCTTGGTTCCAAACCCATCAAAATATGTTACCATTATTGCATCCTATTAACACGTTCTTTGAAGACTCAATTTCACTCCAGCCATGTAATACACTATTATAAAGACTAAATTTTGAAACTGTAATGCAATCTTACAGCTGGCTGGCTTGGAAGTTCTGCAGAGATGAAGATATTACCTTTCAAAATGGAAGTCAGCCTCAGAAGAAAGAATGGAAACCACTTTAATTCCCAGGTCAGCTTTGCTTTACTGTTCCTTTGTTTGATGAGAGAGGCACAGGGATTCATACAAAGCAGTTAGAAGTTCACAAATTGTATATCTGAGGCTACAAAAGCCTGAATTATTTGTATGTTCTGCCCTGCCTTAGACCAGCTYGCTGTGATATCCTTCCCCCAGCTCAAATGCACTCTTCTGGTTTTCCCAGCATTAATGTAGCTGTCGGTTTGAATTTCAATCTTGAATTATGTCTGTTGACATAATTTCATAGTGCTGACTTCAATTGTTTAGGATTACTGTTTTGAACTACATAAGGAAATCAATTCTTTCCTCTCTGGTTAGGAAATTCCATTCAAGTGCATTTTAATGCATGTAAGCCATAAGGCAAAACAATTATCTATAATATATTCTGATTTAAACCCCCCCCATTCTTAATTAATGGCATATTAGAATAAAAACTATCTGATATATTCTAAATTTATTATTACATATTTAATAAACTGACGTAGAGATCTCCTGAAATTTAATGGTATTTCAATTACAGAAATGAATGTTTTAACAACTGTGTAGTTTGCTTTTTGAATAACACGTGACAATGAATTGCTTAATTCCATTCTTTTATTTCAATAAACCATCCAACKCATTATTCATACAAAATATTATATGAAAGTATATAAAAATTATTTTGGGGAAAAAATCCCTTTATTTTTAATGTAAAAAAAAATACAGAAATGAAAGGGTAATCATAATTTTTGTATTTTAAGAAAAGGAACAAAATTTCCACTGGAGCAGAACAATGGCAGGACTGAACATAACAGAAGCTTTAACGAAAACCAAAATCCAAACAAGACCAAAATTAGTACAAAGAAACCAAAAAAAAAAAAAAAAAAAAAAAAAAAAAAAAAAAAAAAAAAAAAAAAAAAAAAAAAAAAAAAAAAAAAGGGAAGGCATCATATGACAACATGTATTTTTAAAGACTGCCGGGTCAAATCATTAAGAAAAATATTTATATAAGTCATTAACACTCGTAATTAGAGTGTCATATAAATCTGAGTGGAACTGCTAAGYAGAAATCACTAGAAGTCCAGGTGCTTGTTGCCCATGGCCATGGCACCACATCCTGAGCTCAGCAGTTTGGCGGATCCTGCCAGATCCTGTTTGCTCGCGCGGCTCACTGTGTCTGACAAGTCTGGAGGCAAATGCAGCCGCTGTGGCAGGAGATTTGCAGGAGGGAAGAAAGAGAGAGAGAGAGAAAAACACACAGAAAAAAAATATCAGTGCAATAGAATTGGTTTTTTTCCATAGCGTTATTTCAAAATGCCTTTTTTCCTGACTGATCGGTGTTTACTCACATGAATAAAGCACTTCCCAGACACTCTTCTAGGCTGACCTGGAAACAGTTTTGTATGTTTTTCTATATGTTTTTGTATGTTTTTTTATATATGTTTTTGTATGTTTTTATATATGTTTTTGTATGTTTTTTATATATGTTTTTGTATGTTTTTTATACATGTTTTTGTATGTGTTTTTATATATGTTTTTGTATGTCTTTTTTTATACTCGATTCTGTGCATTGGAATAGTTTTTTTTTTTCCCATGAAAATTTTCCAAACAAAACACTAATTTTCCAAGGTCTTTAATTATACCTTTTTCCTTTAAAAACAAGTGTTTTGCCCGCATGCCAACCTATACATCAAATAATTTGAATTCTATAGCACTACGGTGCAATGTAGTTTTATTTTAAACATTGTGACAGAGTCTGAAAATAAATTATGTGATGGAGAGGGCTCACCCTGGTTGCACATTGCTCTGTAAGATGTCTCCTCTTCATATCCTACTGACAGTGGCCAATAAAACCAAGCAGTGCCAGTAGTTGCATTTATATAAGGAAATCATATATGTTAATCAAATCTTGCCCTCCTCAGTGAGTTGTAGTAACATTAAATCCAGTTTACAAATGGGGAAACAGAGACACAGGTTACATGGCTGCCCACGAGCACATGGCTCTTGTGTAATAAACCTGATTTTTTCAACTATGACAAAAATATTTCCACCCTCCCCCTGAGGGTTTTTTACACCAGAGATATATAAAAGACAGGACATTACCATTTAACTTTTGTAAAGTAAGGTAAAAATTAATGYACAACTGAGGTTTTGCTTGTTGAATTACTGGCTTGCTTTAGGACCCAGCRAGGCACTGAAAGCTGGTCAGATGAGACAGCTGAGCATCTTCTGCACAGTGCAATAATTTATGAAACTGGTATCATGCAAGGAGTGTATTTCTTGAAAGATTTAGTAGGCAAAGGCTAAACTGGGTGGTTCTTTTAAAATGCACATGCTTCTGAAGGGAACAGGAGAACAGCAGTGGCTGCAAAACTGTTTTAGGAGGCTGTGTGGAAAATCTCAGCTTTTCCTACATTTTTGCTTTTATCATGGCATGTAAACATGGCTTCCTTCTACTCAATACCTTTGGAACTTCAGTATCATAAGAATTCAATAAAATATTTGTATTTACAATGAGGTGCCTGTTGAGCTCCTTGCTGGCTGTTCCTTATATAACTGGGCATAAGCTGAGAGATTTTATAAATTTGCCAAGACTTAGATAGGAAAAGTGAAAAATTAAAGATCCTCAGATTGGATGTTGGATGTGAATTAGGTATTTTTCATGATACAGCATATATATATATATTCCGTGATATATTCCATTATATATTCCATTATATATCCCATTATATATGGAATATATATATTCCATTATACATATACTCTTCTTCCCCCATCTTCTTCAGTGAAGAGGATGCACACTGCTCATTTAGTCACTGGCTATTCAGTATTTTATTTTCTTGTCACTGTTTACTCTGAACTTTCCTGACATATTTATTGTACACTATTCAAACCTTGTTCTGAAGCCAGAATGGCTTTTCAATAGCACATGTCAGTATAAAGCACTTGAATGCTTCACAAATACCAGCTGTRTTATTTTCCTAATATTCTTGTGAGAGAAGGCAGCAAAGTTACCTCCATTTTAGAGACAGGGAATTGAGCCACATCACACACACAGCAAAAGGTATCTACAAATTTCAGAAACACAGTCAGAACAAAGCCTGAATAGGTATTTCAAAATATCATCCCTTAAAAAACCCTATACAGGGCTGAAAATATTATTCCTAATAAATATTTTAACACTGTTTAAAGATATTCTAAATGTTGGGCCACAAACAAAGTGGAAATTCATTGCATGGCATTATACAGACATCCACAGGTTAAACAGTGGCCTTTATTTTTGTGGTCATTGGGGGCATTTTGTGGTCATCAGGGACATTGTGGTCACTTGAACTAAGGAAATAAGTGATGGCACAAACAGGCTGTGATCCTTKTGGAACACCAGCACCACAGAATAAACAGACATTTTCAGGTATTTGCTGACCACAAACAACCACATTTAAAAGCCCAATTAAGGACAACATGTTTTCTGCTGGACAGACTTCTCTGATAATTTCCAAGGCTCTGACCTCCATCCTTTCCAATCTCTCTTTCTCTTATCAGTCTGGTGAGGATCAGGATGATTTTGCTCACATTGGCAATCCCAGCTCTTCTTGTCCAGGCCTTTCATTCTACAACTGCTTTTCATGACAAAAAATATCAACTTTCTGCTTCCAAGCTCTTCGTTCTTGCCTCTGTATTTCTCTAGCCTCTGTTTCCATCCCCTGCGAAATTCAGCCCCAGGCTACCCTTCCTTGCCTCAACCTCTTGTTTTCTTCATCCCCTATTTTGCTCTCCTCCTCCTCCCCAATTTTTCATCATTTTCAGATGCTTCCCATTCCTGCATCTGAAATGGGCTGAATGCACTGAGTGTGCCAAAGAGGTGGGTTTTCACAGGACAGCAAAASCTCACCCCTGGCATAAATGCTAGACATGAAGTTATCATAAATAATTACACGTTTCCACAAAAATATTCCAGAAATTTCCACAAAATTTCCTGTAGCCAAGAGCAAGCTGTCAGGGCAACAGTGTTTTAAGGCAAAATGGTCATAATGTGGCAAAGAAAGTGAGCAAGAGAAAACAGGATCCTATAATCACCTCCCTTGGGATAATTTTTAAAGCATATCTTGAAGAAAGGTAAAGTTTGTCAGTGAAAAATTAGGGAATGCTGGAGTACTTTGTACAATTGTGTATCTGCACTATGACACTGTGTTTAATTCCATGATCACACAGTATTTTCACCCACAGAGGCTGTCAGGAAGGTTTACACTCGGGATCTTCAGAATTTTCATTCTGAATTTTCATTCACTGGCTGAAAAATAACTKCTCTGGAATAAGGATCCAATGGAACACAGCAGAGCTGGAAAAAGGGGCAGGATGGGAGCTGTGAGTTCTGTTTAGGGCAGTCAGGGAGGTTTTGCAGGGCAGCAACAATTACACTGAACCCAGCTAARCACACAGCTTTAGGGCATGCACCACGAAAGCAAAACAGTTTAGACAAAACTTATTACATAGTTTGTGTCTGCTCCTCCCTCTGCCTGGAGAAAACTTCTAATTACTTTATTTGTTCTCAACTGGAAAAAAAAAAAAAAGGGCAGAAGTGGGAGATGGGATTATGTAAAAGGACAGCTCAGAAGGGACACAGAGCACTCCAGTCCCAGCAAAGAGGACCAAACACAGAATGATGGTTTTCTGACATTGCTCTGCCATGTAAGTCTGGGATGYAAAGATCCCACCACATTATGGCTATTCCAGGAATTTCTAGTTTGGCTGGAAGTTTGATTGGGGGGAAATTTATTTTTCAAAATCCTACTGTACAAAAATACCACCAAGTGCTTTTCCCAGTGTATCTTACTATATCAAGGGGATCATTTCAGAGATTTCTTATGAACACCCCAGTTTTCCTAAGAACCTCTCCTGATGTTCATACTTCAGTTACAAAGTGCATAGAAACAGTACACATGCTTAAATTATGAAAGGAATCAAAAATAAAATAAAAATCTATGACTGAATTTAAGAAACCAGTCACAGTTTAACTCCTTAAACAAGGAGTCCAATATTAGAGATAATATTAAAGAACTACACATATCAGCTACACATTCTTCTGAGGAATCTACTGCACTGTGGAGGCAACTGGTGAAATCCAKTATTACACAGGATAAAAACAAACAGTTCAAAAATTACTCATCAGATTTGAGGAAATGAGTATCTGTACAAACCTTTTATACAGAGAGAATTGAGATGGAAGACACTCAAGACACAGCACAATTTCCTAAAATTAATTGAGGGCTAGTAAAATCACATATTCTGTAAATGCTYTGAGCAATAAAGAATACAAAAAGTTTTTAGCAACAATGGGATAAGCAGATATATGTATATTGACAAAAATCTAAACCCCAAGTAAGTCTGTATTTACTCCAAAATCATTATTCTATTTTCATACCTATTATAAGTGTAATACTGTAGCAAAAAAAATCCATAACATGAGTGATGCAAAATCATTGAATCTCATTAAAAATGAGGTGATAGTTTGTTCTTAATTTGATTCATATTAAAGTAATTTCACTGGAGTCAACCTTGATGACCTGTTAACAGTTACACAAAGCTTTACCAACTGAATCCAAACTTGCCAAAAATCTTTACAATTCATTTATTTGGATCTTTGACCAAAAAATAAATAAAAAAAGCAGCTTATTAGTCTACCATGGCTGCAGCCCTGCCTTGGGGCAGGGAGATGGGTTAATGACCTCTCAGATCCCTTCTACTTCCATTTGCTCCAACTCCATGAAGACTGAAGGCACCAAAGCCGAAGGGATTTGGTTTAGGGGGAAGAGGGGGGTGRGGAGAAGAATTTTAGGAATGCTGGGAAAATGAAAGATGCAGATTCTTAGTTGGGGAGTTTTACATCCTACTGACTTCTCTYTGAAGCAGAACTCTCCCCATCCCACAAAACCCACACAGGAACACACTGCAGGAGAAAGGCCCAGTTCCTGTTCCTGTCCCCTCTTCTGTTCATGATGTCCACAATCAATCACTTGCATTACGTTTTTCCTTTTAGGTATTTTTTATTATTAGCAGTAGTAATTTGGGCTTAAAATAAACACAAAGATGGGCAGGTATGAAACTAAATTTCTTCGAAAAGTTTTTCTCAAATATTTGGCATGGAGGTTACTACAAGTTTTGGCTTTGTCTCTTGTCAAGCTCACCAACTGAGAGGCACCAGATA